TAACAATAATTAGAAGAAAAAAGAACAAATAAAGATAATAGCAATAACAATAATAATGATAATTATGAAGAAAAAGAACAAATAAAGATAATAGCAATAACAATAATAATGATAATTATGTATGAAAAATTTGCACAGAAAGCATCTGAGAATGCACACATCAGAAGTTTTATTTTGGAGATTTGAGTGAAAAAATGATTAAATTTAATAATGATTTTTGCAGTAATTAAATTAAAAGGGAGAAAGGATTAGTGCACACTATTAAAAGAAAAAGTTTTGTTTGTGATTTGCTTTTATTTTCGCACAAAAAATTTATAAAATCAACTTGGCATCTGGCACAGTTTTTTATATTTAAGCATTATCAGTAAGCTGTATAAAGTGTGATTATGTGATAAATTAATTGTTTAGAATAAATAATTAATTGCAAATTAAAAATGAAAATTTTCTACTTGCTATTAATAAGTACTCGGTTAAATTGAAGTTTGATATCATTTAATCAGATTGCTTATCAAATTTCATATAAATTACAGATGAGTGTGCTAATTAAGTAGCTGTAATTATCGTAGACAAATTGATAATAATGTGAGAAACCTTAATGATCTGACTTGTCTAACTTATTACTTACGTGAGAAAATCAGGGAAATTTGACTTTTTTAGAGACTGAATAAGCGTTTACTTCAGAGTGCAGTTAGTATGTTTCGCTTGTGCTAAAATGAAAAGCCCAGCAAGTTGAAACAGTTGATAAATCTTTAAATAGTTCTGACATGAATCACGCTGAATTTCAGAAGATAGAAGTTGAGAAAAGTTGCACCAAAGTGGAAGAATTGAATTATTTAAGTCTGTCATTTATTAATTGCTTAAAAAATGACTAGACAGTATAGATGACATTTATTAGAAAGCTAACAAAATTTTCAAATTCAAAGAATGCTTCTGATATATGCTTGTTTTGTTTCAGCTTATCGAAATCTATTATTAGCCTTAATAGCAAAGTAGAATCAATCATTTTTCATCAATAGTCACATCCGAATTCGAATTCTCTAAGATCAATTAGTGATATGTAATATCTATCAGAGTAATTACACGTTGTATACATGTTTTGTGTGACTTAAAATAATACTTTTCAAATGAATCCATCTTGTCTTCATCTTACTTTCTTTTGCAAAGACAGATGAGGAAGATCTTGTATTCTTCTACTTCTAGAATATCAGAAAATTATTTCTCTCATCCAATCAAAAATTGATTTAATTTAAGGTTTGATTTATTTGCGTAAAGTGCTAATGCTAGATGTTAGCGCTGTTTTTGAGCTAGCTTCTCATGCATTCATCTAACAAGTAGACTGCAGAAGAAAATTTTACAAACTTGAAAAGTGGATATGATTCAGAAGCTGATTCAAAGCTTTGCAGAAAGATGCGAGTGATTAAATAAGATTATTGTGCTGGCAAACGAGAGAATAAGTAGATTAGTTATAAATTCAGTATAAGCTAATTCAAAGGTAATCTTTGAAATTTGAGAATAATCTTATAACTTTGTGAAATGCCAAGTTGTATATTCATTTCCTTTTGCTTTTTGTTCACAATCTTTCATCTTCCGTTCATTGCAGCTAATCAATCTGACGTCGTACACGGAAATTAGTAGCAACTTTGTTGCTCACACAATTAGCACTGCGTCAATTGCGCTAAATTCCGTCAATCTGTTATTTCACGTAAATAGCCACAAAGTGAACAGTTCTTCTCGTGGCGATAGCAGACGGAAGAAGTTTAGGTTGCTGAATTGATATGCAAATAGGTATTATTGATAGGGCCTTCGGAGATAGGCCCAGCCGTACTCTTGCAATATTTTCACTGAAAGTAATTATGCTTTTGCTAGCACCTTGTGACCACTTAAAATTTTCTTCTCACGCTGCGCCCATCGTCCACTATGGAGACGATGAACAAGTGCCCGACACTTCCTCTGGGTCAGTTAACTTCACTTATTAGCATCAAGCATTTGCAACATTTTAGTTTCTACTGCTTGATTTGCAGAAAGAATCTTTATTAGATACATAAAAAAATATGTAAAAATTTGATGAACTCTGCTGAATTTTTTGCACCGTCTTATTTATTCCATATGATTGAAAAACTTTAAATAAGTAATGAGGAGCTGTTTTTCAAATAAAGTTAGTTTTTAATGTATTTTTTTCATTTTGCTTTAGTGCCATTAATTTGAAGTCAGTAGATTTGATGATTTTTAAAGTTTTTTCTGTAACTGAGCCTTACTGCATAACGTAATATAGTACGTGAATTACTTTACGAGATATTTTTATCATTCGTAGCAGTGTAAAAAAAGAATTTGAAATAAAATCTGTGTTGAATTTTTTTACGTTGGAAAAAGCCAAACGTGCTTATTTCAATTACATTTTCCATAAAGTGGCTTTTAACTATAACAATATCACTACAGCAATAAAATCATCGTGTATTGATTCAATCAACATTCTTACAAATATAAATAAAGCTGTAAAATGCTTCTTCTTTCATCTCTCAATCGAAATTGTCATTAAAGTTAGAAATTTAAATTTTAATTGAACTATTTAGGCTTTTAAACTTTATTCAAAAACATTAATTTAATTAACTAATTTCGTATTTTTTAAATCACCAATCAATGCAGTCTTAATTTTCAATCACTGATCAATCAGTGAAGATTTCAATTTTTGTTACGCACCATTTAATCATAGTTAATCTCTTAAATTATCACTTTATCACTTACAATATCAAGTTGACTACCATTGAAAAGAAAGCAAAGTTGGTAGCTACTAAAAAGTATTCTTTAATAATACTCATAAGTATCGAGCAAGTTTTTCGGGGCTATTTTCAATTGCAAGTCAAATTAATTAAGCAACTGGAATAAAAACTTTGGCAAACATCGCAATTAATTTGAAGCGCTGCTCGCAATTACATTAAAAAAATAGATATCGGTACTCGAATACCTCAGAATTCTTATTTTCATTTTGGCTTTGATTATTTTTCTGCTGGAATTATCACTAACTTTCCCTAGTATTTGCTATCAGTTTTTTTTAATTTACGAGCATTCAAATATCGATTTAAGCTTATTTTTAGCTTCAAATTATTTAAATTTAATTAGATAGAAAAAATTGAAGTCAAAATACCAGTAACAAAATATTTCACGTAATATCAGCTGTGTGTGTGTTGAATGATTATTCAGTAAGTGTATATGATAATCAGCCAAAAACGATTAATTGATCTAATGATCGCATATATTTGTAAGATATAATCAATACTTTATTAAATTCAAAGGAGAAAAAATTTCCATTTTACTTTTTCAGTTTTTAGCTATTTTTTGTGGGAAAACTATGAGATAAAATCTATACAAACTTCTGTGTGATAATATTAATCGACTTATTCTTGTGATTATTGCAGTTTTTTATCAGTTTTGCTCTTTTTTTGAAATAAAAATTTACTTATTCTATTACAACTAAACAAATCTTACAAATACAAATGCTAATAATTTTACTCTTTGAAAAAATATTTTTTCCAAAGTTTAAGAATAAAATACTTATTTATTTGCTGTCAATTGGATGTAACTCTTTACTTCCTTTTTTGTCTTGCGAATATAATTGATAAATTAAAAACTGATCAGTTAGTTACTTGAGGAATTAAATTTGAAATAAAATAAATTATCAGAATTTGTTTTGAGATTAAGTGCGTTTTTTACTTCTCAAAATTACATTTTGTAAAAATAAAATTTAGAAATAAATATTAAAAAAAAAAAACTATTCAAAATTGTGTGAAAATTTATTTGCTATAAAAGATAAAAATTTACAATTATTTTTAATTCGAAATCGAATAAATAATTGATAATTGAAGTGATTTCTTCTCTTATCGATCAAAAAAAATCATTTGTATTTTTTGCATCACAATTATTCATTTTTTCTTCATGTCTTTCTGTCATTGAATTATGGATAGAATTTTCTTCTTCTGAATGCAATTTTTTTTATTGCACACTGATAATTGACCACAAATAGGATTGATAAGCAGTAAGAGTAATTGCAAAGTTGATAAATAATTAAGCAATTGCATTTTTACTTTTTGCTCTTATGCTAATTTTGAAGCTACAATACTTCATCTCTTTTCTTATCAGTGATCATTTTTTGATAGCAAATAATAGGCACAATTGATCATTGTTATCAGTTCACACGTAACTGCTAAAGCTATATTTTTGCTCTTTGTGAATGGAATTTAAATATTAAATGTCAAATAGAGCAATTTGAAAAAGCAGTTTTATTTTTGAGAATCGCAGCTTCTGAAGCCACCAAAGTCTGATTTAATTTCTCCACACTTTTGTATTCTTGCAGTATTTCAGTGTAGACATATATCAATTTCCATTCAAAACTATAAAAAGTAATCGAATTTGAATAATTATTTTTGCTTTTAACCAAATTCAATACACATATAATAAGATTTTTTGAAAGTATTGTAACTCATTTAAGCGGTTTATTAAAAAGTTTTCACGCCAGTCTTTAATTTAAAAGTATCTAAATTTAAAATAAGGAAGATTCTGTAGTTGCATAATCAATTCTATTTTAGAATTCAAATTAATACATTACAAGAGACTAGGAAGAAATCTACTGCAACTGCATTTGAATATGAAGTATTTTTAGAGATATTAACATTTGATTACAATTTGCATAATAAAAAGTTTTTCCAGATTTTGCAAATTTCAGACTTTTTAACATTTTTAAAAAGGTCACAATTCGAAAATATTTTGCTTCTTTCAATGGTCATTTTCTAAACGGTCATTTTCCAGTTTCCATTTTTGACTTATTTATTTACTTTTGACTGAAATTGTTGTTTTATTCAGAATCATCGTTGTCCAGCTATTTTCCTTCTAATTCTGTCGCACTTCCACATTTTGAATTCTAATAAATGTAATATTTGTGAGTATAAAACTAAACTCAAAATAGCGCAGCTTAATAATTTTGATTTGAATAACCTGAAATTACCAGAAGTTTACTTTTGAAACTGTCAAGTATAGTTGTGAATTTATCACATCTTTTTGTTATTTATTCTTTAGCTTTAATCCTTAAGCTATCAAGTAATATTTTATCTGCGGGATTTCGCTAACGCAATCAAAGTCATCTTCGAAATACGTTCATAATTATTGTGTCAATAACCGTTTGCTGTTATCAATTCATAATTTTAGATATACTCAGTACAAAGTGGAAAATGGATCTGTTTTCGATGAAATGTCAAAAAAGGCATTTATTTCTTTACATTCTGAGCCATACATAGAACCGTCTTTGTTGACCTTTGACCAAAAGCGCTTAAAATGGCTTCAGCGATACATGCGTAAACAGTTGAAATCTGGAAAAAAGGGTACAGTATTTCTTGTAAAAAACAAAAAAGTTATTATTTTTTCAAAAAAAAAAACCTTTGTGATATTTTTCTGTAAACAATTTTTAATTCATTTTTCAAAATGAGTGCTATAATACAAAAATTTATGAATTGATAAGAATAATTTTTATCGGACATTTTTAGTCCACAAAAAACCTGATTTTAAGTTTAAGTTATAGGTAGGAAAGTTGTTTCTTCTCCGAAAGAAGCACTACAACAAGTAAATCAAGAGGTCAGCTTAGGAAGATTAGACGATTCAAGGCCTGCAGCACATTGTGAAGGTCAAATTTTCAAGCAGCGAATCAGAATGGATGGTTGCTTATCGAAGGTTGTTTTATGACTGATTATATGTCTTTATTTTTGAGTAAAACTGTACCAGTGGTGATAACGAGTAGATTATTGCAATTTGAGAAGTCAGCCATGACTTAAAATGTTAACTTGAAATTGTATACAAAACGAAGAATAACAGCAGATGAGACAGAAATCAAGCCAAAAGCTAAAAATCAGCAAAAAATCATCATGAAATTGTACAAAAATTTCAGGTTGTTCATAACAGATTTTGTCACGGAACTTGTTCGTCCTACTTTATCCCACGTCTTAGGCCACGCAAACTCAAATTAGATGCTATGTTTCAAAGTTGTTCAGTATGTCGACCAGCTGAATGGGATACTGTTGAGGTGATAATTTTATCTAATAGATACTCTAGAATAAAAATTTAATAACATTGTATAGAACCAAGTGCTTAGATTACTGTACAAGTGATATCTTGGTGTAAATAGTTATAAGAACCAAAAAGTAAAACTTTGCAAAAGGTACCACAAAAACTATTGAATAAATAGTGTAAGTTACCAAAAGTAAAGTTTATTTTTCTTAAAAGTATGGCAAAACATTTACTTCAATTTATTTCAGCAGTACTTTTCAACGTTTATTAAATTTTTTACAGTAAAAAAATCACTGAAATATTCAATAAATAATAAAGTAGCGATGAAATGGTATCACTTTTCAAGAGTGGATGAGTTATTACTGCTTTAGTACATTTCTATCAGACAACTGCTAGATTAGTTTGGCGATTACTTATCATTAATTATTAGTTATCATTTAAAAAAAATAATAATCATTATATTTATAATTGAGATAGCAATATTAAATCATTATTTCCTGACGACTTGAATTGCCGTATATGAAAATTATTAGTTAGTGAACAAACAGGTGAAGTTGGATTGTCCGAGGAAGAATCCGAGAGAATTGAAGCGAAAAGTAATCAAAGTGAAAAAATGCAAATGCATTGCTTTAAACGATAACAATTTGGAAAGTGAGGAAGATGGCCGATGATTAGCTTTCATTAGCAATTATAAGTAATAATTTCTTGGCAATTGCCTGATTGACGAGTGTTCGAATCTGAAATTATGACGATTAGTAGAAAAATAGCTATGCATTTATTTATTTATCTATTTATTTGTTTATTTATTTATTTATGTTGTTTTTTTTAATCTTATATAAATGTTTAGCAAAACTCAAACTTGTTGACCTCTGACATTTTTAATTTTGTTCCAAAATTTTTATTCAAAAATAGAATTAAAATTTTTGTATTGATTGTTTTAGTTATTAATTACGCCGTAAATATGATTATATGTAACTTGTTGCAGATGATTTTATGCTCAAATTTTCTAATTGAATTATGTTTACATGAACTTTTGTTGAGTACTAGTTGGCTAACTGATTAGATAACTTGTTGCTATTGATAAAAGTGAATTTTTGAAGTGTTGTTTTTCATCAATAGCAACAAGATAATTTAAAAAATAGATATATTTCCACTTGCTAAAAATGAAAGTTATCAAAAATTTACGGATGGATAAACTGCGAAAAATCGCAGTTATATGATTGAATTGATAATAAATTATTGTAGATATTGCTTCTAAGATAAACAACTGATTCATGATTCAGTTTGTTATAATTCCGAATATATTTAATAATTAATGCGCTCTACTAAACTAGTGCTAAAAATACACAAGCTGATTCATTATGAGAATCCCAAAACTCACTCATCAAATCTTGATCGTTAATCTCATCATTTGAATTAATTATAAGCCAAAATTAATTAATTAGAAGACTTATTAAAATCGTAAAAAGTTTCTTCTTTAAAATTCTGTCATGTTTTTCTGAATCAGTTAATATTTAATTACTTTATTCTTCTCCTCTAAATATGATGAATTATCCACAGATTGTTTATTCCGTATTTGGTCTTGTATTTTCCTGAAGATTGTAAGCACGTACTAATCAATATGCAAATTTAGTTCCTCATAAACTACGGATGATCTCATGTTTTTAAATCATTATTATTATTATTATCATTATTATCAATTATATTCATTTGTTGCTCTGTGAATGCAAAAAAGTTTTGTTTCTACAATTCAAACAAATCCTTATGTATTTGTCATATTTTGTTTATATGTGAAACAGCAAAAAGTGCTTCTCCTTCAGGTGTCATAATTATATTTATTATATTTGATATTGCTTATCACCAAACAAAATGATAAAACTCATAATAACAATTGTCTTGAACTCATAACATATTGAGATAGTTATCAGTAACTGAACATGAAGTATCAATCTTTTTATCAGTAAAAATAAAACTGCTCATGGTTACTATTTAATTAATTAAGATCATTTCATTATATAAATCAATCAATAGCTGGATAAGCATTTCAATTATAGGCAATAATTAATTAATTAATAAAGAAAAGCTTAAAACTTATACATTGCGATTACTTTGTAAATTTGAAAGTGAAATGAGTATGTTGGAATTTTTGTTGTTTCATCTAAAACATTGTTTAATACTATTTCCGTTCAAATTTTTTCATACTGCAAGTGTTTGCTTGTTTATTTGTCATCTGAAAAATAAACAGTTATAAATTAAACAATTTTTTCTTAGCTAGTTTTGATAGATGGTTCTTTTTTGGTTCATGCTTTTTTTGATTGCAATTCATCAGTATGACGTAGTAGCACTAGCACTGATTCCACAATGTGATCAGAGTTTAGCAAATGACCTTAAGAAATATATACAGTTCCAAGTATGTTTTTAAAATGTTACAATGCAGGCCAAGATTAAAATCCTCACATGAAGCAAGTCAACTATTTGCTATACATAAATGATTCAAATGATCTGAACCTTATGAATAATCAAATCAAAGTGATTCAATTTTCATTCAAGTCATTCTAAAAATCTCTATCTCTTTTGTAATCGAATAATTACTGTAGTTCATAACAACTCTTTCCTACTTTCTGCTAATCTTTTGAAGTACAATCCAAGATTTAAAAAAATGAAAACTTTTTGTCTCATTTTCAAATTGCCAAAAAAAATTTTTCCCCCCAAAAACCAACTAACCAACTAACCAACTAACTAACTAACTAACTAACTGTCAGAGCTAAAAATAACTACAACAAACAGAAAAAACCAAATAGAGCTACCATTTGCAGTGTGACTGTACAATCACTGATAACTTTGGTATGTGTGCAAGGAGGAATGATCATCGTACACTTTAATTTTGATGTTTATCAAGTGAAAAAAATCAACAAAATTTACGTAATTTTGAATTTTTTCACGTTTGATTACTTTTTATCAAGAATTAAAAGTAAATAGCATGTGGGATAATTCTTTGTTGCAAAAATTTTTTTCCTTTTTGTACACACAAATAACAAATTTACTACTACTGCAAGTTATTAGAAGTGATAAACAGCAAAACAGCTGATGTCTTGCTTTTGGGCACCTCATTGGCGCCAAGGACGAGAATTGATGGGCCTTTGGCGCCGTTAATCAGTCAACCGATAATGACGATATCTAAGTCGAGTATAATTTTTCCCTACTTTCCATCTTATGTCATCACCCTTCCTTTCTATAGTTAATTTTTGATGAATATGCAACCTTTGACCTCAAATTTCACTGAACTGAAATTGATAATATATCCACCCAACTTACATCGTATTTACAAAAACTTTTTATTCTATTTCTTCCTGTTCCTTTGTTATTTTCAATACATGAAGCAATCATTGTAAACTTGAGACGTCAATTTTAGCATTTGAACCCATACTTCTAACCACAAGCTAAAAAATCTCAGTTCTGAGAATTTAAATTAGTGTGTTTGTATTAAATTTGAATCTGTGATGTAAGAGCAGAAACTCTTGCATTCCTCATATTGTAGTGAAAATTTTCAGGAAGTTCCCAGCCTTAAAACGCGCAAAAGTGAAAGTATCTCGCATATCTATGAAACAATCTCACTTATACGCATTCAGTACTTCAAGAATACTACGATCCATAATGCGCAGTCGACTTACGAACTTGCGTGAAGATAATGTATACTTAACCTGAAATCATACGCAAATAAAACTGTGATGAATGCCAAAGAACTTAATCAATTTTTATTTAGTACAAACATAAATCATACCAAATACCAAAAACAGATCAATCACACATCTAGTGTAATTAACTTTGCCATATTGATTTTAACATATTCAATAAAATATAAATATAACCCAATTTGTAAGCTTTTTAGTGACTGCCAACATCAATAGCATTACTGAAGTAAAGAGTTGCAATAACAATTTTACATAGTATACAACAGCTCGAAAACAACTGATCTCATTGTAATGTTTGAGTTCAGGCAGATGCAACGGAAATGAAATGATTGCTAAACTAAAACTAGCTTCAAATGAGCCAATTTTCTTTCTCATTTTATTGTAGCTAAAAAGATACAATGTAAAATTGAGCAGACAGTGGAATAAAGCGAATTGTTGGCGCCAAAGAACTTCAAAGAAATCCCTTCTGGCTTTCTTTAATTTAGCCAATTTAACTTCCGTACGATATCTGCAAATGCACCAATACCTCCTACCCTCCTCCATCTTACTCAATACCTTTTTATAAAACAGGGACAGGGGTTACAAATATCCCAGCACTACTACTTACCACAAATTGCTATCGTATACACTCAAAAATTTCTGAGGATATTGTCAGGGACATGCATAATTTCACATCTAAATTAACTCTCATCTATAGTTTGCTTAGTTACATCTGATGTGATATACTAAGTTTTCTTATAAGTCAATTAACCCTAATTGCATTATCTCTGTTCCAAAATTCAAACATCTTACACGTTTCATTTACAACTAACCAAGAATAATTTCAATTGAAATCAATCTTCTAAAAGTATCTAATTAGGTTAGACCCAATAACCTTACAATAATTGATTACACAGTACAAAATTGATCAACGATATCGTTAATACTTAAATAACTGCAAATAATCTGCTGAAACATACCCAAAATAAGCCATACTTCACAACAATAATACTAGTTTATATAAATAATAAGAAGAAATGATAGCTGGCTCAAAAAAAGAGTAATTATCGAGCAATTCAAAGTTTGCAACGACCAGTATTTTGATTCTTTCAAATACAACAACGATTCGTTCTATAAACGCCCGTTCAAATGAAAAAATTTTGCAAGACTACACACCGATACATTTCACTTATGGTTATTTGAGGTATAAGATCTCATTCAAGTTAACTTTTCAAGATAAGAAAAACAAAACATCACAACACAATACATTACAATTTACCCGTATTAATAGATATGTTTATAAGATCTGTATAGATAGAATAAACCATATATTCTGACAAAACAGAAAAAAGTTATAATTCGAATATTAGAATCACTAGAATATTAAGGTGTTACGCGCAGAACTATCAGAGTTTTACAAAACAGCAGAATCAAATTACCATAATAAGAGCACATATGTCTGAAATTTTATAAAAGATGATCCCAATAGCACTTTCGTCACCAAGTATAAGAAAAATCAGCCTTTCGTCACCAAGTATTATAAAAATCAGCCTTTCGTCACAAAGTATAATAAAAATCAACCTTTCGTCACCAAGTATAATAAAAATCAACCTTTCGTCACCAAGTGTTATAAAAATCAACGATTTATGACCGGGAAAAGCAAAACATTAGATAACATGTAGTCAAGGTCTGGCAATTGATCATGGAGAGCTCGAGCATCGAGAGAAAGTTCGCTCACTGGTGTGTACTTCCGTTCTTTATCGCTATTTTTCAATAAGCAATTCAGTACTTTTCTGAAACTAGCACACATTCATGAAATGTACACAAAATTTACTGAATACTATCAGAAAATTAAACCTTGTACTTGTATTTAAATGTATAAAAATTCCTGCTCTCATTTCCATTTAATTAAAAGAATGAAAACAGGTATTACAAAAATGTGCAGAGGACATTTTGCATAAATTCTAAAAAAAGTACTTACGATGTGTTATTAGGAGTATATTTTTCCGCTTCACTTTTCTCGTTTTTGTCGGATGAATACAAACCAAAAGCAGCCAGATCCTATGCAAAACTATATGTTTATATTTTTTTACAGTATCGTTGAAAAATTACAGTCAATGCATCAAGGCTTAACATTTCTCCTTCAATAGTAATATAGATAACTTCAGTTATAAAACTTCAGAAGTTTTCCTTTTTAATTGATTTCTCTGTGGACCAAAAATTTTTTTAACAAAAAATTGAACATGGTTGTAAAAAACCTTTTGAAGAGTTGATAACATCAGTTCTCCACTACTTGTAGTACCAGAAGTACTCGTCGATGCCAGAAAATCCAAATCGAGTAATGCAGAAGAGACACTGAATGCTACAAAATGTATGTAGTGATTAATAGCACCATGTTATAAACTTTCAAAACCCTTAACAAAAGTATTAGATTTACAAGGCGTAAATTGACCAAAGAGTTAGTTCTAGATTATAATCAAATTTCTTGCTCTACTTTCCTACAACAAAATCCTCGATAATTTCAGAAGTCAACAAAAAAAAAATTTATACATCCAGTATAAAAATACACCAAGAAGCCGCAATGATAGCAAAAAAATGACAAAAATGATTTCATACTTGTAGAATGTTAGAACTGAATCAGAAGTGATTGTTTGTCTTTCAAATTTTACTAATAATTGTGAAAACGCACATTCTGTTTTCAGAGGATTTGTTAGACCAAAATGATTCCAGTCAAACTGAGCTGGTGGAACGGCCAGCGAATCAATAGTTACCGATCTTGGAGGAGCTCGATGACAGATAATAGACCTGTAAGAACTACGACCTGAACCTTTTCTTGTCATGACTTATGCAAAGCCATAACGGTGCTGATAAGCTTCTACTTACATCAGCATGCAATGTATGCGTTTCCTGTAAGCACAACTGACTTGCATAGAATAAAGCAAGGAATCAGCGTAGAAAGATAGCCATGCTCACCCACAAAACTCAACATTTATGAAAACAGACGAAATGATATGAAGACATTATGAAGAAAAAATATAAGAAAGTTAGTAAAAATTAAACGATGACATAGATTCTCTTGATTCGTATTTGTTAGAACTAATTTCTTAATAGACATTTCATGACTTGTATCTAATGAGTACTTTTTTTTCGGAGTGGTTAGTAAAAATATTAAAATTTATTTTGACAAGAAAAAATAAATTAATCGAAAAGATTTATTTGGCGATATATTTTCTTGCTATAAACCTTAATTTAATATATTATTACACATAATGAAGATAATATCAAAAATAAGATGAAGCAGAATTAATTGTGAGCAATTTAAGCAAACTGTGCTTGAGCGTGCAAGAGTAAAGGCGCAATAATAAGCTCAAATAGTTCAATTTTATACATCGCTTACTTTTTCTCATTTTGAATACGAGGCAAGAAATCAGTTGAATTTGATTGAGTTAATCTGGAAATGAGTTTTGTCATGGATTAAAAAAATGCAGCAATAAATATGCGAAGAAAATTCCTGCAAAACTTACAGTTTTTTGGCATCCACTGATGCAGTGCTCACAGTGTTTTCCGTTGCAGATATAGGAGAAAGAATAGCACTTTCTTCAAGTTGCTGTGCAAATACAGGGAGACCTGAATTGCGGATTGCAGCCTAGAATACGTATAACATAAAAGTAACAAATGTTGGAGATTTGATAAGTTTTCTGAAATAAACTGTAAAATATCAGCTGAAATGTATAACTGGAATATTTTTTAATCTCTTGTGTTATAAGAAATAAAACTGTTGTCAATAACAAAGTACTTAACTATGCAAAGTAAAGAAAATTTTAAGCATATAATTGGAGGATATATTAATGTTGAAAAAACTAATAAACAAACCTGTTTCACATCAATATTTAGTGAATGCAAAAAATAACTTCGTAACGATGAATCATGCCATTGCATTTTTAACGCTAGTGCTTCCTCAATAATACTTACTGCAATCCATATGGCTTCGTCGGTCCTGAAATCAATATATATATATATATATAACATGTCCAGCAGTTCGGAGGTTAATCTTTTCTTTACGTGCAATTGATTCTCATCTTGGATCGTTTTTCGGCATTCTCTTTGTACTCGCCAGGCACTTAGTTTTACTGATTCCAGGAAACTGGTCGAGTGCTTTCCCTATCCTCTACACTGCTTTTTTTCTACAACCTTGTCTGTTTTTCATGTTTTTATTTATGATTCCAGTCTCGGTCTTTTTCTTTTGATTCTCCATTTCCTACTTTGTGATACTATTCGACCAGCCGCGAACTCAACCGCTCAGCAACTCACCCGAGGTTCATATATATCGTAACAAATACCATAACATAAATTACTTTTAAATTTCGCTAATTTTTCACCCTAGCGAAATCAGCGTAAGGACAAAATTCTTGACACTGAAGGTTCAATAAAACTAATCTAACAGATATTGTCATTTAGAGTAGTGAAAAAATCAACCTCTTCTTGCTTCCTTCTTCTACCGCGTCATTCAATGTCTCACATAATCCGTTGTTAGGCAGAGTCTGCTCATCACTACTGTCGAAATCTTCACTATGCATTATCCATAATTCATCGTCAGTAAAATTCTTGAGAAGTGTAGAAAAAGTTAACTGAATTGAGAGAAGTCTTCATTATATACTCATATAGTTCATGAACGCTGAACGTGATCACATCACAAAACAGATATAGAATTATAGAAAAATTGAAGACTCTATGCACAATTGGATTTTTTACCATCTGAATAAACAGCGATGATCAAAAAATCTCCTTCGTTATACCTGCATATAAGTTATCTTTCAAAACTTAAACTAAAACTTACATTTTTGACTATGGAATTATCTGCTCCTTCAATCATCACACTTTGACCTAATTTATCACAACCACCTGACTTGATCTCTGGCACAGATTCAAAATTCGCCCAACTGTGATTTTCAACATTTCCAGTTTCCTCCTGATTGTAAATTATCAACAGTAATTACATGACACAGGCTACTGTCGATAGTGAGTTTGAAATTCAAAAGATGATCAAATTTTTCAAAATTGACATACGGTGTAGTAAAGAGTAAAATTTTTAGTACCTTGCTTGTTTCAACGAATTCCCCAAAATCACTAAATTCGTCATCATCTACATCCTGCAATTTGCTTTCTGAATCATTTTCTTCCATGTGCAGCATATTTTTATTTTCATCATTTACATTATTAGTATGTGATGAATATGAATTGGTTTTCGTTACTTCAGTTACAGTTCCTACATGTGTTCTTATTTCAGAAATCTGTTTATCACATAAATCTTCATTAGAGACCCCATCTTGGAGAACTGGATCAGTATCATGCGCAGAAATGTGTTGGCAAGAGATAATCGAAACACCACCGGCTGATTCATTGTCAAACGAAGCATTAACACTTTTGCAAACTGCAACATCTGTTGCTTTCAGCACATGAGATTTTTCATAATATTCGGGAACATGAGAAGAAAGACCATGAGGTTTAGAATTTTGAGCACAGGGATTAGATGAAGAAGATTTCCAACTTTCAGCTGAACTGCAGCGTGATAAAAATTGCGAAGGGACTTTTAGTGCATCAGAATTTTTGCAATTTAGTACTAAATCACAACGGGATTTTTGAAAACAATCTATCTGATCATTCACAGTTTCTGAATCTGGTCCAGCAGAGAGTGAGGAAAGATATGCGGAATGAAGTTTCACACTGCCTGAATCATATCCATTATCAGCAACAGCAGTAAGTCGATTTTCGTCATCAAAATCAGCAAGCACAGTTTCATCATTTGATGTTTCAAGAGTGGGAGTTGCTGGTAATGGTGGAGGATTATCTTCAAACATCTTTTTTAAGGAAATTTCTGAAATATCACTAAATTAGTTCTACAAAATGATTACAAATATCTTTAAGTGATTCAAACATCAGATGAAGTACCCAATTATTACAAACAATATACTATACATATACGACATATTTTCACAAATATAATTTATTAAATTCTATTTACTCTTAAATTTGCATTCATGCAACAAAATAAGCATACAGAACTTGTTTTCGATATGTTTCGTAAAGCTATCCGTCTAAAACGTGTCTTGCAAAGAATATTAAAATCAAGTTTAAATTCATGAAATTATTAAATATACCATTTCTGACTTGCACAGCAGTAAAACAAGTTCTAGTGAACAGGAGGAATAATCAAACACGTGTAAAAAACAATTAATAAAATAGTTTATTTTTAATAAATTTTCTGCGTCACGTTTATCAATAAAGTTAAAACTCTTACTTGCTTTTTATATCAGAAATAATGCAAGAATTTATGGTTTTAGCAAATATTTACTTTAAGTAAAACTTCAAACAAACAGGCTACGACAACAGAAAGAGGAAATATAAATGCCATTTCGTGACATAGACTGATTCACAGGGTTCAGATTTTTTTTTTCAGTCTTATTTATCTCAAAATTCTGAAATAAAAAATTCTGACATTATTATTACTTGAGTTTCAGTAACGCTAAAGATTAGAAGAGCTGTTAGCAGTGAGAGTAATGTTTGTTGGAAGCACAGGTGAGGCTTATTTTAAATGCTAAGGAATTGCTTCTACGATGGAAAAACTTGCCTTATTTTGATATTTCAATTGAGAATATTAAAATATTAGCCACTATTACTTAAATGTAACAGAAAAATATTAATTCAATGTGAGAATATTACTTAGTAGAAAACTACTTAAAGAAGAATATAGTTAAGAATGCAATTATAATATTACTTAAATATGCTCACATCAATATTAAGCAGTGTGTCAGTCAATTTCTTCATGCTTTCGGAATCCAAACGTCGTACGAACAGCACTTATCCCACAATATTTCCAAAGTACGTGGCATTTTATTTTTATGCAACAAAATTGTTAGTAGTAATAGTTCCAGAGATAGCAGAGATTGAAAAATGAAAAATGTTGTTGAGTGAGGGAACAGCAAAGATTGAGAAGCATTAGAGACAAGGTACTGAAGGTCGTGGGGAATTACATAATTTAAGAAGTTTAGCTGGTGTATTTTCACCGGTAGTCCGTAAGGAATGGGGACAGTGTACAATGCTTCATTACGAATTATTTCAGTCAAACTTTAATGAGCAGCCAGAAACAATCAGATCAAGTACTTGGTCTCTGTTGACGGAGTTCTCATACTTTTCGGTTCACGTAATTTCTGACTTGCACTAGAACTTCATGAGAAAGTACTGGAAGGAAAGCTATGCTTACTATTTATTTGCATCACTTGACTTTGCAGACGCAGCCAAAAACAATCAGATCAAGTACTTGGTCTCTGTTGACGGAGTTCTCATACTTTTCGGTTCACGTAATTTCTGACTTGCACTAGAACTTCATGAGAAAGTACTGGAAGGAAAGCTATGCTTACTATTTATTTGCATCACTTGACTTTGCACACGTGCAATGACGGATGGTTTCATCATTGAATTTGCTGAAATGTTTCAAAAACATACGTTATAGTTATATAATTAGAGCATAAACTGTATTTGTTGCCTTTTTTAAGCCTTATAAGGAAATGGTCGCTGGATAGCGTGTAACAGCATTTGAGTACTTATTACTTGTCTTCACCTATCGATGCGTAATTTAATTTTGGGACGTTTAAAAAAGTACGTAAAGTGAAGAAAGAGGATATGTGCTATCTATTATTTGAAAGATGTGTGTAGTACTATCTGTGGTACAATATTTTCACATCATTAAATCAATTTTATCAAGATAGCCTATGTAGTGCACTAACAATCAGTATCAGATATATGGACGTATCGTATAGAAGTCGAAATAAAATTGGTACTGAATATTTCAACGTATAACAGTGTTTAAGTGAAGTACTACTGTTGTACAGAAAATATTGCAATTAATTCAAAAAATACAAATATACACAATTACAAAAGCGTCAGTCATAGTAGTTAATTGTTAACTAACTTTTTAAATCAATGAAGCAGTAATATTGTCATTTCAGAAACTTATGAACATCTCTGATGGCCTTATCAAAGCAACAAGTTCTTTGGAACCTGTTTTTTGGAAAATAGAGCACAGCAAAAAACACTTAAAGGCAATTTTCATCTTTCGAAATTGAAAATTTAATTATTTTCCACTTTTTATTTCAAAGTTTCTGTCAAAGATAACAACTGTGCACTAATGTATACAAATATAAATAAATAAATAAATTAATTAATTAAATAAATGAATGAATAAGTAAATAAGTATATGTGTATGTATAGATATGCAAATTTTGGAAAATGAAATAAAAGGATGGGAAAATGGCTTCAAATTTGTTACTCACTTTTATCATCACGTTGTAAGCGGTTGAATAGCACGAAGTTTTCAGAACTTTTTGTCTCAATTATTATTATCTTAGAAGCAGAGCAAGTGGTTTCTGCATTACAACCCCATTTTTTGATTATTTGCTGAACTTTTTGTGCAAACTTGAAAAAATATCAAAAACAATGACTGCAGACGTTACAGTAGAAGCTTTGGACAGAATGATATCTGTACTTGAAGAAATCGGTACTAAGAAAGTAATTCTACTGCAAAATTATTCTTCTCATAAAATTATAAAATACTGAATTTTTGTGATTTTTTCTTGACGTGACGTAAAGAAAATATTTTTCAGAGATATAATTTCAATTTTTTACGGAAATTTCTTTTCCAAATTAATTTCATTGAATTGCTTTAAATTTATACAAAAATATTCTAAACACGAACTTTTAGTCTAATTTGATTTTTTGTATGAGCAAAACAGATAATTATTAAAACCAAGAGAAACCTTAAAACGCAAAAATATTTGTACAGAAAATGAAATCTTGTAGGGGATTGAAATAAATCAGAAAATATCATTGGATGATATTCTGACAGTATTGTTCACGGCCACAAGGATCATCATGGAAGATGGCGTATTGGTTGAAGTTGAAGTGCCAATTAAAGTAGTTGGTGACATCCATGGCCAGTATGAAGTATAAAAGTTTACCAAAATTCTATCATTTTATCAAATGATTCAAAATAAAATGCATACAATACATTACAATCTCACATCTTCAAAATTTTTTAAATGAAATCACTTAACTAAATTTACCAACAAAATCCAACAATGAATTCTAACATTTATTGGGTACGTAGAAATGACAACTTCAATGAAAGTAAATTTTAGGATTAACTTTAATGCAAAGAAATGAGAAAAAGGTGAAAAGCAACACACATGCAAAATTAAATGCTAAGACCTAACTTCTAGGACTTGCACAAATTATTTGCAATCATTGGTAAAGTCCCGGAAGTACGAATGATATTTCTTGGAGATTACATCGATCGCGGGCCACAGTCTATCGAAACGTTAATCTACTTACTGTGCTTGAAAATAAAGTATCGAGATCGGATTTTCTTGCTGCGCGGAAATCACGAAACACCGGCCGTAAATCGTATTTATGGGTTTTACAACGAATGCGCAGTGAAATACAAGTCTGGTCGCAGTATTTGTTTACGTGTTGATGTCATTAGCTTGAGCTTCACTTTTTGATCAACAATCCTCTTTTCTTTCAGTGTCGGTTTGTGGTGGGATTTTCAATCATTTTTTAATCGCATGCCCGTCGCTGGACTCATTTCAAAACGTGTACTTTGCATGCATGGAGGCCTATCACCACACTTGACTAACCTTGACCAAATCCGCCAGATTAGACGTCCATGTGAACCACTGGTCAACACATTTCTTACAATTGAATTTTCGGCTGACAAATAGATATCACTGATCAAAAAAAATCTGTATAGATACAAATTATGATTAATTGATATAAGCAATAATCTTAGGATCGAGGATTACTAATTGACTTGGTCTGGTCTGATCCGACAAATAAAGGAGACGGCTGGTTTTACTCTCCACGTGGTCTAAGCTATTCATTTGGCAAAGGTGTATTACTTGCTGCTTGCAAACTTCTTAAAATTGATTTGGTCATCAGAGCTCATCAGGTAACAACTTTTAATCTTTCATAAGCGTTTTTTGCATACTTAGGTACAAATTTTCTATTGAGATTAAAAAAAAACCAATCAAGCATATCTGAAAATGAAACTATTATATCTTCATAAGGTATAATATAAAGTTTGTATATTACGTACCAAGTAAGACAATGTCGGTAACTTTTAATTGTTACCACCGTGGTATTATAGAAAAAGTGAAATTTAGGATGAGTATTTCAGGTTGTACAGGACGGATACGAGCTGATGGTAGGCAAGAAGTTGATTACCATATTTTCTGCCCCAAATTATGCTGGACAGTTCAACAATGCTGGTGCAGTTGTCTGCATTGATGATGACCTACAGGTGTGCTTAGATTTTGAATTTAGTCTATCAATGTTTTAAAAATAAAATTAATTATACAATTCATAGTAAAAAAACTCAATAATTTATGTTGTTGAGCGACACAAAGAATGAAAAGCAAATGCAACAATGCAATTAAAATCAACTGCACTAAAATTAAAAATAGAATAACCTAAAATTGTTTTACTAATTTTTTGTTTAAATTTTTAATCTCAGCAATTTTATTTTTCAATTTATTTGAACTTTTGAAAAATATTTAGCAGAATCATGAAAAAAGCAATGAAATATTTAACAGATTTTAGGTAACTTTTCAACAGCTGCGTGTTCCACCTGGACCAACTTGTGTGCGACCTTGTCCAGAAGTAGCTTGCGCCCCAGGTCAAGCTTTAGCGTTGCCTGACGTTAAAAAAGTCATTAGCACGCCTGAGGTAATAATCAGAATTATGAAATTGTACAGAAATTTTTTTAATAATTAAAAATTTTACGTGTTTTCCCTTGCAGACAAGTTCGGAAAAGAAGGAGGGGTCAATGAGGAAACCTCCAGTGGGTAATGAGAACGAAAGGAAAGATGCAAGTATGGGAGGTGAAAAGGGGAAGGAAGGGGAAGGGAGTGAGGATGGAAAGACTGGGGTGGAAGTGAAGCAAGAAAAAGAAAAAGAAAAAGAAAAAGAGCAAGGCAATGACGACAAAGAGGAGAAAAAGAGCACGAACGTCAAGGAGAGCTCTAAGCAAGAGAAAAACACCACAACCTCAGATAATAAAACTCCATAAGAAGTCAGTATAGCAGAAAATGGTAAGGTAGATTCACGTAAGTCAATATATTCACGTGAATTCAGGCATCCATCATGTATTTTACATTTACGTGCTTACAATTAATTAAAACTTCATTTTGCATAGAATTTTCGTAGAATATACTTGTTGCAAACGCGTTAACTATTAAGTGCCACGTTTTTTCCTAGCAGTTATTACACTAAGCAAGAAAGCGTATTTTCTTGTTACAGAAAATATGCTTCCAATCAAATGGAATAATTAACTGCACAAATTTCGTGTTACAGAAATAACCAGTTTGTGGAGAATTCTGATATTTGGAATAATATTCATTTTCTTTGTGCGCTGGTACCAGTTATTAAAACTAAACGTCAAAGTTATCATTTTCCACATCTACGTCAAGAATGAAAAAACAGTACACGCATGACAAATACGTCACGGAATGTGATATTAAATTAAATTTAACTACTGGCTTTGCATGATCTCATCAGTCTCTTGGATAAAGCAACTGATAAAATTATTAATTGACTTGTGTGTTTCAAATACGCACTAGCAATACAAATATAAAAAAGCAAACTTTTACTTTACAAATACAAAGATGCAAAGTTGGAAAAAAATAAATGCAAGTCATAGTTGTAAAATTGATTATGAAAAAGTAACTTTAATGTAAAGTATTTTGATTTTTGTCTTTTCTATTTTTTAAGATATCTCATTTTGTCATTTCAAATGAGTCTTCTTTGCATACAACTGAAAGTTTAGCTCACTTTTTTAGTTTTCACTTTCATTAAAGTAATTAAAAAATTAATTTAAATAAAAAGGGAGTATTTAATATTTAATAAATCTTAATAAAAGTATATCGATTTTACCTAAAATTAAATGGTTGATATTTTGTTAAAATTGCAAAACTGCAAAATTTTACGTTCCAGCAATTTTTTTTTCTGAGACACGTGTACTCATCAATGTCTTGCATAAATGTAAAATCTTGACAACTACAGAAGTAGATAAAGACGTGTAGGAGATTGTCCCCTCATTTTATCATTTTTTCTTCTGCACTCGATGTCAACAACCCATGTAGTCAAACAAGTTGCACAAGGATTCCAAAGCGGCAAAACGGTTCTTCAATTTTTTGCTTGAAATTTGCATAATGCATACTTTTAATCATTTCCAGTCTTTGTAAATTAGAAACTACCAAACTTTGAACAAGCGTAATTAAGTATTGATTAGATTTTGATATACTTTAATAATTCTCAGGTTGAGTTAATAATGGAAGATTTGCATCTATTTTCAAATGGTATTTTTTCAAATGTTTACAAAGGTATACTCAAAGAACCTCAAAAGCGATTAATTGCTGTCAAAAAGTCATGGTCATGTTATCGTAAGCCACTCTTATTTACCAACAAACCTAAATAAATACTAATTAAATTATAACTGAAAAGACAGTTTAAGAAACAATTGCACATTATTCTTCATCGTAAGAGTGTTAGCTCAAATCTATTAAGCTTAAATCCACATTTGCTATTTTCATTTTCTATCATACTTAAAAGTTTAAAGTTTAAAGCGAATTACTAATATTAAAAAGTAAAATTCGAAAAACAAGTATGTGTAAAATTAAAATAATACTTGAGTGTACTTATCAAATTTAATATTTTTTATTATTATTTGTATTCTTTTTCAAAGCAACTCATCAGCCTACCGAAGTAAAAATTCTAACAATGCTGCAACAATATCATCACAAAAATATTATTCAACTCTTATACACATTCAGCCAGACTTATCCTGATGACAAAGTTTGCTCCTTTCTTCAACTCTGATACTTTTGCACTTCGGACTTGTTAGAATATTTGGCAAGTCTGAACTTGGCATTATAAGCTAAATAATTCTGTTGCACAGCAATTTTTCCTTCCCAATACAAAATATGAGAGATAGAATTGTTTTCACTTCTCCACTTGAAAACTCTCAAAATGTACCGGAAATTTCCCCCCAAAATATAATAAATTAAAAAAATTTTCAAAAGTTTTTTAAATTATACTAGTTATATAGTATATGATATATCATGTATCGATATTATATTGCTAAAAAAATTAGCTTTAAAAAATGCTTTAATAGATTTCAGTGAAAGAAATAACCTTTGTAAGTTTCAATCTGACCCTGAATTTTGAAAAATTTCGAACTAGAAAATATGAACTATTCGTATCAAACGTATTCATAGCAGTTTCTAGATATGTACTGCATTAGTATTTGAATTCTTCCCAATGAATTTATCTGAAGTTCGAGAACAATACGGTCCTTTGAGCACATTAGACGTAAAACTTTATACGTGGCAATTATTTCGAGGACAAGCACATTTGGAAAAAGTTCTGTTGCAAGATATTTTGCATATCAGAGCAAAAAATATTAGATATAATATCTTCAAGATTATCATCGATGCTTTTTGAAATATTTCAAATTTTGCAGAACAATGTATGTCATAGAGATATTAAACCGCAAAACTTACTGGTAGATCACAAAAGTGGCTTACTGAAAATATCTGATTTCGGATCATCTAAAGTAAGTCAAAACAATGAATCAGTTTGTTCATGTATGCATTTATCTCATCTTGACAGGTTACAGTTACATGCAAAATTTTTTAAAGTTTTAAGTTTAATAAACAAACAGTTTAATTTTTAACTTACTCAAAAATAATGATAAAATTGATTAGATTGCAGTAAAAAAAATAAAATAAGTAATATTTAATTGAGTGTTATAAAATTAATTCAAATTTTCGGGTAGTTGAAGTACTTGCTCAGTTATTAGCACTGCTATCAATACTTTACAGATAATGCGTCATAATACAACATCTTATCATTATCATGTGACTAGATATTATCGTGCACCAGAGCTTATACTAGGTTCGGTACAATATCGATGTGAAATTGGTAACATTTTGTTTTTCGGTATAATTTTCGGAAAAGTTACATTTTGCTCGAGATATGCAATGAATTTATGAACTGGCGTTTTGATTTTGAAGTTGATTTTTTCGGTGACTTTATCTTTCCTTTAAAGGTACCTCGCTCAAGTTATAATGTACACACCCATTTTTAGTCATAATTAAAATAAATAATTTTATTTACCACTGATAAATTGTGACTGCAGAAAAATTGTGTGTAATTTACATAATATTCAACTTAAACTATGTGTACATTCATCCATTTATTAATAATGAACTTTATTCATATATTCTAGTGGTGATTACAATAATGTTTAGATCGATGGTCATGTGGTTGTGTGTTTGGCGAGCTTCTGAAAAATCACGTTTTATTTCCGGGACGTACTACGAATGATCAGCTTCGAGTGAGCGAACAGAAACCTTGCAATTAGCCAGAAACTGATTTGATGATTCGCTTTATTTCAGCTTGTGATCAACATCTTGGGCTTCCCAACACTTCGTGATATTACTGCTATGCAAGTATCAACTGATGCTCTCGAAGTTGATGACTTCCGTCATGATGTCCGTTCATCAGTGCAATAAGAATAAAACCTTTAATAACAATAATAAAAATTTAACATTAACCTCATTTTTTTGTTTCAAAAATAAATTTAAATACAATTAGATAACCATTTTTATCATAAACTGATTAATTTTTAATTTTGTTTTGCATAATTTCAATTCATAATTTCACTCTAACTACACAGCATCCAACACTTCAGCTTTCATATCCAATTCATTGAAACCTTATCATAATATTTAATCATAATCATAAATTAAAGCTTCTATTCAAAAACTTTTGAAGTTACAAAAGATTGTTATAGTTTGAGCGTTTATTACAATTAATGCAACTTTGATCAAATATTTACGTCAATCATAATATAAGCTTAATATTATGATAATGATTAAATATTAAAATAATATGCTTGCAACATCATCTTCACAATTGAGAAAAGTTTTAGGTACTAAAGAAGCCAAATCCTTCTGGATTCAAAAAGGTATACTTTTCTTCACTAATCTCATAAAAAGTTGTTGAATCAAATAGCAGAAGCGAAAAATTGTTAACTTTACTTTGAAAGTTGTTTGGTCGTAATGATTTGCAGTTGATCAAACGAGCTGAGCATAATGCTTTAAAGTTATTAGCTAAAGTTTTGGTGTATAATCCAAATCTCCGATTATTTGGCCCACATTTTCTTGAAAATAATTACTTCAAGGAATTATTTGACCCGCACACTAAACGTAACGGACAAGCCATCACTATTCTCTCTCAGCAGGTATCTTAATTCTTGATCAGTCTTCTGTTGTGTAGATTGCTTAATCTGAAATCAGTCTTTTATTCTGTTAAGCAATATATTATATTTTCAAAAAAATAAAGAATAAGCAGTTATGTGACGCTTTTATAAATGCAATTCTGTAAAATATTTAAAATTTATACTCTATTTAAAAAAATGAGTCGAATATTTTTAGAATAAAATTAATTATTGTTTGCTATCATATTACAAAAATGCACACAGTAAACACGTCAACTAACCTTGCGGATTATCAACTTACTCGTAACAATGACTTTTACAGAACAATGTTTGTTACATAACTAACTTCACTTCCATTCAATTTTGTTCACTTTATCGTTCTCTCAGTCTTTTAATATCTCACAAAATTGTATCACAGAAGTAATCGTTTAGAACTGTAACACCCATACATTTTGCTTATGACGTAGACGTATCTCATAATTTACAAAGTAATATTGCCATAAATATTACTTTCATTTCTTCTTCATATTTTTACTATAATTTTTTTCCTGAACAGAATATAAAGCTCATAATAACTGCTTTTAAATGGTATATGTCATTTCTGCAAGAACAAGCATGAAAATTAAAAATAGCAATTTATAATACCAAAGGTATTAAACATTTAAAAGTAGCCAAGATGAACTTTCTATGTGGTTGTTACTTATAACAGAGAAATACCATTTCAGTTAGCTATAAAGTAATGGAGTAGATAACGACATTTTATAAAGATTTTTATGCATAAATATATGCACTAAAAATGTTTTACGTGAAAAGCTAAAGCTAATATATGCCTTCGTAATGGAGACTGAATGATAATTAAGGTGTTACTGATAAAAACTACTTTTATTATCACTGTAATAAAAATGTTTATATTAGTATGAAACAAATATGCGTGAACTTACTTTACACTTTTGTTGAGGATTTGGAATGTGCGTTAAATGGAGACGGGAGGTCGACCAGAAATAATGAAACGTAAATATTCTTTAATATTTTTTTAAACTTTATAATAATGCATTTTATTTAAAACTATTCAAATAAATATCAAATTTTACAAAATTATTTTTGAGTTTTACATAAAATTTGATAATTATTGTTAATCTAAAATATTTTATTTGAAAATCATTTTTAAAGGCTGAATTTTTTGAAATTATTAAAGATCGAAAAGTACTGAATGAACGGCCAAGGAAACTATACTTGTCGCGCACAAAAGAGAAATGAAAGTATATGTGAGAAACAATCGAAGATGATCTGTGAATTGAAGCACTGCTGATGACAGCACTTGATAATACGGTCATTCTGAGGAACGAAAATTCAAAAAAACGTCTACTTGATGATAAGTTTACGATAACTGAATGAAATGAAATCGACTTCATACTTTTATTGTTAAAAGTGGTGAAGTGATTTGCTGATTAAACTTTCAGTACTGGTCTCGATCTTGACTGTTCAGACTAAAGCATTCAATTCTAGCATTTTAAAAACCTTCTGAATACAAAATATGATCAAATTAGGAAAAATGACTAAAATAACGAGGAGTTAGATTTATATTTTTATTTAAGCTACTAAGCACAGCACAACTATTATGGTAATAAAGGATTTGCTGAAATTAACCAAAAAAAGCTTAAATAAAAGACAACACAATGAATAGCTATTATCACTTAGATAAAATTGCAAATAAGTTTGCAGAATTTGAATAAAATCCCAAAACAATTATTGAAAAACAAAATAATGAATTGAAAATCAGCAAGACAAAGTTGTTCTATATGCAGTATATTTGATCACTACGAATAATCACGGCAGGATTTACTGATCGGTAATACCAGCGATTGTCAGTCATACAATATAAATATTTACGTACAGGAACGTGAGATTTTTTAACAGGAAATGCAGCTGTTTCATTTAACTTACGAAGTATGTGGATACCGTATGTTGGATGTTTCGTGTCATCTTCACCTGCTTTGGCATAATCACCGCTAAAAACTTAATTCTGTTAAAATTTTACGACAAAGAAAATTAATTAAATTTGTTCACTTCTTTTCGAAATAAGACGTGGCTAATTTTTTCAAAAATAAAGCTTGAACAAATTTGTAGTTTTTCGCATCAATTAGCTAGATAATACATTTTTTTAAATAGTGATTTTACCAAATTTTTAGTT